ATAATTTGAAAAATTCCAAATTTTGGTTTTTAATTCTAAACTCCAGAAAATGCTAGTTTAATGTTTAAAACACTCAACAAATCTTTTAAAACACAACAACCATCCTAAAGATGAAGTTTATTGGCTAGACTACTCCGGGCTGCGGGGCTAAGTGTCCTAAGGAGGCTGGTTCCTCGAGCCTTGTGGCACAATGCCACGAATGGATTGTAAGGGGTGTTAAACATTAAAATAGATTAATTATTAATTATTTAACCTTTTTAAAATCTCTAATTCAATTACATTAATTTGGTTTATCGGCTGGACTACTCTGGGCTGCGGGGCTAAGTGTCCTAAGGAGGCTGGTTCCTCGAGCCTGATGGCACAACGCCACGAATCAGTTAATGGCAAACTTAAATTAATCAAACTTTAAAAATCAGCAATTAAACACTTTTGATTAAAATTTATTAACTTTTGAACCTTAACCAAATTAAAACACATAATTATACCGGGTACCACTAGGTAACCCAGGCCTACGAGGCTGTTTACTCAGCCCCAAAAAAGGTGAAATAAACTTCTCGGCCTCAGTGTGAAACAAAGGTGGTATCCAACAAATAATTAAATAAATCTTAAAATTAACCTTAAGCCATTAATACTTGAATTTAAACTTAAATCCCTTAAGCCTTTCAACCAATCGAACCTTAAGCAACTTCAATCTAATGATCCTACATAGGACATATCAAAACCACACGACCTACCTCACACACTATAGATGGTTTGCTAGGACAACCAACTCTAGTTTTAGGCTAGGCCGATGTTTACTTTTCCGCTATGTGCCAGGATTTTCGAGCTTTTTCTGCATGCTGTTTGCTAGTATAGAATTGTTGTGTTTGTTTACTTACTTCATGTACTCTGTGATTGATTGTGCGTTAGATTTACCCCTAGGTTATGGATGAATTATATTTATGCAATCTTATGCAGGTGGCCATGCTCATATAAGGAGCTGAAATTAAAGGGGGGCAATTAATAAAAAAAATATATACTCTTTGCACAGGTACCTACCGCGCTTAAGACCCCCTTTAAATAAAAGAGCATGGCCAAGTGTGCCTCAAATAATGCATTTCAATTTTCAAATAATAAATGCCTGTGATTGAATATACAACTGTTGATTATTAAGATAACCCTGCAGGATCGAGTCTAGATTTTTCTATTCTAAATTAATGTAAATTTGATTGATTAAGGTTGTAATTATTTGAAATGATTTGAGATTGGGATATGAATATCCAATTTGGACTCCAAAGAGGTGAAGACATCCCTAAAGGGGAGAGTCTTCTTCCATTTGGAAGTCAAATTAGGATACTTTTTAATTATCCAAAGAGGAAAGATAACACCCCGATCAGGGGAGAGTTTCTTTTCATTTGGATATCTGGAACCGACGAATCAAGATGTTTGTGAGAAGACAAAGAAATGGACAACGAGAAGAATCCTAAATCTCAAAGTCATTTGATTTAGGATTAGAAATCTGGGTTGTAGTCAGTGGTGCCCGGCCACTTTACTTTTCTACAATTCTGAATGTAATAATAAGTGGCACTTGCCATATGGACTTTCAATTTGAGCATTTAATTTGATTGAATTATTTAATTGATTGTGCAATAGAACTACCTATTTTTCTAGTCTTTTTACCTGCATGCCAATTTTGATTTGACCTGGAATTCGATCGTAGGCTCTTAAAGACTTAATAAAATTTTTCTAATTAAATCAAATTAAAAACTTTAAGCTCACATAGAAACTCTAATGATTTGAGAAGTAAGCCTGGGACCGCCTGAAGTTTTCATTTCATAGCATTCATTAAAATTCAAACTTTTAATCGAGTCAATTAGCATGCATCATATTAGTAACTAATTTTAAAAACTTTAAATCTTTAATTACATTAGCTTAAGCATCATACCCAACATAAGTCTGAGGGGTCAATTAAGGATCTACTCTAGATGTCGGCCCCGTTCTAAAAAAAAAAACTTTTCCTAAATAATGTCTCTATCACTCAACATTAAAAGACCGGACTCATATTTTAAAATCGTTTAGGTGGTTTAGCTGGCTCCCCAATCCAGGCCGGGGTAAGACCAAACTTGCACTGCATTAGTTAGGTCCGGGGTACTAATTTCGAGTGCCCAATTTAGACTTAGGTTCTGAGGCTGGCTCGGGACATAAGACATCAACTTTCGGGAATTGAATCCCAAATTTCTAATAAAATTGACCATTAAACTAAAAATTCCTTTCAATCAAATTTAAGTCTAATACTTAGGATAGACTGAGGTGTTTCTGAAGTAATTCAGAATCTCAAAACACCTCTTACTTTTCTTCCTCGGACTCCGAAAATAAGTCTTCAATTTTGATCCAATCCCACTTGAAATTCCTACCATTTTCGTCCTTTGATATCAAACTTTGAAAATCTTAAAAATAAAATTTACACCGCTATTTTAATCGAGAGTTTTCGTAGGAAATTTTAGTTTCCTACGATGTAATTAACTACGAGGGCTTGCGCTCGTAGGAGATTTAGAAACCCAGAACTTATTTTCAAAATCAATAATTTTTCAAAACCTCTAATTAATTTTCTTTGGAAAAATCAAACCCGACGATCATTATCGTCATTTTTGAACAATTCATAATAATTGATATCTTCTTTCTTTGGAGAGATATATTAATTATTATCGTGACTTCGATTATGAAATTAATGATCTTTTATCCAAATTATAATAATCAAACAACTGGTTAAAGTCCATTTTAACCTTCCGAGGTCGAATGTAATTCTCCCTTTGAGTTTGACTATGATAATTCAGATATAATAATAATTTTGAAATTTGAACCCGTTAGGGAACGATACGTTCGTCTTTCGAGGCGATATATTGTTCATAACGACGTGTTATATCTCAAAATTTAAAATTAAATATTCTCAAAGAAAATAATACATTTTCAAAACTATATATATATATATACATATATACATATACATATATATACATATATACATATATATATATATGTTATCAAAACAGTCGAAAGGGTCGTAGTCAATGGAGGGGCAGAAGTCCAGTGTTAGTTGGTGGCTGATAAGAAGTCCGACGTCAGTTGATGGCCGGGAAGAAGTCTGGTGATGGACGGAAGTCCGACCTCAGGTATAAGTTCGACGATAGTTCAACGACGGGAAGAAGTCCAACAATGGATGAAAGTTTGGTGCCGGGCAGATGTTTGATGAAAATCCTGCGACGGTCATAAGTCCGATGATGGATGGAAGTCCGGCTTTGAGTAGAAGTCCGATGAAAGTTTGTCGACAAGCAGAAGTTCGACATCAGGTAGAAGTTCAACGAAAGTCGGACGATGGACAGAAGTTTGACAATGGGCGAAAGTTTAGGTTCAGGTAGAAGTCCGAGGAAAGTTCGATGCCGAGCAGATGTTTGGCGACAGGCTGAAGGCTGGAGTCGGGGAGAAATCAGGAGACGGGCTGAAGTCTGGTGTCTGGTAGAAATCTAGTAACGAGCGTAAGTCTAGTGTCAGGTAGAAGTCTGACGAAAGTTTGATGATGATCAAAAGTTTGGCGACAGGTGGAAGTCGGGTGTCGGGTAAAATTCCGACGACGAGCGAAAGTTTTATGTTGGATAGAATTCCGAAGAGGGTTAAAAGTCTGGTGACAGGTAGAGCTCTAGCGATAGATAGAAGCCCAGTATCAGTCGATGGCCAGGCATAAATCCAATGAATGTCGCTGGGCGAGCAAAAGTTCGGCGTTAGTTGGTGGCCGGGAAGAAGTCTTACGTCCGTCAACATCCGGGTGGAAGTCCGGCGATGTTCGATGAGTCTGGTGGCAAGAGGACTCTCTTCCTTGCTTGGGCCCCTTTTTCCTCACCTTTATATGAGGAATGAGGGGTCTATTTATAGTTTTATGAGAGTGACATGACAAGTAAATATGAGGGAAATCAAACATAAATTGGGAGTGGTTTGAATGGACAGTCGATCTTGAATCCCTTGATCGTGGATCGTTTATTAGGCATTTGAATGTCTTAATGATATTAGAATTTAACTATTCTGGCCAGTTGGATTTGTCTCGTCGAGCCACTCGATTCAATTATAAGCATGCCACATTTGGAAATTGTTTGGTAATCCAAATTATGGTTTGAACCTTCCAAATGTGCTTCGGGTCTTTGATTTGGGCTAATTTGGGCTCGGATTGAGTCAAATTTGGTATCGTTGGGTTCGTATTTCTGAAATGTTCGGTTCGACTATAAGTTTGCTGAAATTGAAGTTCGGATGGTCATTGATTTTGCTTCAAGATTCGTGCTTGATCAAGATAGTTTTTGATGATATATCAAACTTCTTGTTGAATGAGAAATTTAATTTTCTTATTACTTTATTGGTTAAGGTTTGTTGATAAAATAATAAATTAATAAAATCAAATTTAGTATTTTTTTAATCTTTTAAAAAATAAAGTAAAATAAGAAAAGTTGTAGGAGTAAAAACTAAATTGTGTAGGTGCGACGTACTCTGCTCTGCCATTTTTTTTTTTGTTCTATAATTTCTTTTATCTTTGCCGTATGGCCAGTATTTATATATGCTCTTCCTCCTTGTAGCCCACATAGGATTTGCTTTATCCTCGTCGCCATTTCTTCTTCTTCTTAAGACATGGTACTTCAACCTCACGTGTAGCAAGCTATTAAAGAGTCACTAAAGAATGTTCTAGCCTCCTTCGCTGACATTTTTCCTATCAAATCGGAAGTCATGATCGGAGTTCGCCCCAAAAGTAATCCCCTTTCGCATGCTTCAGCTAAATCATGTAAATCCGCTAATGTTGTTATCCAGAAAATAGACTTTTTTATTTAATAAAATTATAATTTTGAGGGCACCTTCAGCTATGTTTGGTTCACCCTCCAAGATCACATGCTCAAGCATTGAACACAAAAAATCTTAGTTGGTAATCAAAACTCTCAATCAATAGATCAAGAAGCTAAGAGATGCATGTTTGGAAGCTTATCATCTCATAGAATAAGTATTGCTAGTATGACATCATCAGCATTAGCAATGGGAATATTTGTATGGATGCCTTTCTCGGGGAAAACCTGTTCCGGACCAAATTTCCTTATCTAAGCTTATAAGTACTAAATTTCGTCTTTATTAAGAAAATTGGCAAAGCAGAAAAAAGTTGAAAATGACATAAATCTCGTCCTGCTCATTTTTAAGAACCTGTTCATAGACGGCGTTATTAGTTTACTCCAATTAATTATTGTTTTTTGTATAACCAGAATCAATATTCTAATATATTTCAATTAAGATACGCGTTAGTGATTTTTTTTTTTTTGAAAGAAATACGCGTTAGTGATTGGAAGGACAATTTATCAATTAACTTGATAAAAAAAAATCTATTACAAGATTTTGCAATTTGCTCATAAACTTCCTCATAACGTAAATACATAGGATTTCTATATATCGAGCAAACAAATCACAAAAGTAAGATATCATATTTCTGGCAATCACTATCTATTACAGATTTTGAATAGTAATAATAGTTCTTCATCAAGGCAAGCAAGCATTGCATTATTCTCCTATAATTGCAGAGCCATTCAGATGTCAAAAGAATACCATAAAATTCTAAACCCTAAACATTCTCTTTGCTTACAGCAGCAAAATCAGCTTTAACATCTGCTGGTATTGCATGTTCAATAGCCACAGATTGATCTATGGGAATGTGTTTCTCAGCCATTTCCAAATCCAAATTTGAATTTGTAATATTCTCTACTTCAATATCTTGGTTTGTATTCTGTTCTAATCTGTCGTTCTTCACATCCATGTAGATGAAATATAAAATTATTTGTGCAACTCCGAATAAAATCCCAAGAACATTTGGTAACTGTGAGAAAATAAGGAGAAGATGCAGTTTTGTATGAGCAAAATAAAATTTTAAAGTTAAGGAAAAAAAAATCAGGACAAAGGATAAAATGTTTAACTATGAGTAGAATAAACCCACCGCTACAAAGAAATCCCTTAGAAGAAGCCCATAAAAGAACCATGCAATTGCACTAAGAGTGAGAAAGAGGGAGAGTGAAAATGGCATATATTCCACGCTTTTTGTTCTTATCACCAGCCTCTGCAAAAAGAAACCTTATTGAATGCTTTTCAAATGATTTTGAACTTGTCTTCTTTATTCCTTTTACTTAGATAACACGATCTAATAACCAGTCTAACTAATCAACTACATCAATCAATAAAGATTTTATTTGGGACAGCTTTTTTATTACTTTTTAAAGCAATTCTTTAGATTAAAAAACTGCTTTAGAAGTAGTAAGAAAACCATCCAAAACAAAGCATAAACCATACTCTTTTATTTAGTTAGGTCTAAATAAATAATTGACTTTTAGATGAGCACAACTCTAATAGTTTTTTGTACAGTAAGTCGTTTATTTTTTCTCTCTTTTGCTGAATGTTGACATAGTATTTGTATCAATAGATCAATTAAATAAAATTTTGATAAACAAGCACATTAATTGTTTTATCAATATCTGATACAAAATTTCATGATCTTTAAGGGATTATTTTTTTATGAAAAAGTAGTACTAAAATTTTTTGATCTCCTAGAAAAACACCATGCAAGTTGCACCTTTTTAAAAGCAGAAATATTCAGATTTTTTTTTTTTACTTGCCATGATGCTTAAAGGAGCAACAAACACTGCGACGGCAAAGGAAGCACAAATCCAACCAGTGATTTCGGAACGCTTTCTCTCATTTAGAAAACCAAGTGTGATGAGCAAGACCGAACCAAACAGGCCAACGTTGAAGAAGAATATCATCTTGACGGTTGAAAGCTGAGAAAAGAAGCTGAACTTGTAAGCGGAGGTTTTTGAAAGACAAGTAGATCTCTAGACATGCAGAAAGGAGAAGCATAATTTGAGCTTTATGAAACATGTTGGAGTTTTCATAAAATGATTTTTATGTAAGTTCCGTTTGTTTGAGATCATCTAACAAATTTCAAGAGAACGAAAGTATAAATGCCTTGGTAAAATAAATAAATAAATAAGGTTTTATGATGCTCATAATTTATTTTTTTAGCTATTTAGCAGTATTAAGTTGGAAGTGATACTTAGGTTTTGTTTTGGTATGTCTTTTTTTCTATTTTTTAAAGTAGTTTTTTAGTTCAAAAATTAAAATTTGAATACTAAAAATTTATTTAAGTAATTAATATAGATGGTTTGGCCTTGCAATATTTAGATGGTTTTACCGCATCCACGAACTTCCAAGGGTTTTTTTAAGTTGAATAACCAAAACTTTTCAACTTCTAACTTTATGATCTGGCAAATTAATATTTATGTTATTGCAGACTAAGTATTTTATCCTATTTAAATAAATCAAAGTTTGTGTTAAAATATTAAAAAAAAAAAAGTGGAATTAATGTATGTAAATCCCACTAACTTGAAATACAAATTAATAGCAAGAATAGAAATTGTATAGTAATAGTTTATTAAGTTGCGATACCTATATTCTATGGTTTAATACGGAAAAAGATAGAATGAGAAGCAGAAAAGGTGGCACAGCTAACCCTTATTTTCTTGGAAGCATAGAAAAGGTAAATGGCTATGTAGACAGATTCAAGGGCACATGTGCATGTGTTGATGGTGAGCAGGAGCACGTTATGGTTAAGAAAGGCATAGTAGAGCCACAACATTGCACTGGACAAAGCAACCACATATGGCGTTGATTGGAAGGAACCAGTAGACTTCTTCCGGTACACCTTATAGAATGTAGTCCTTCAAAATACAAGTCTTATTTCATTAGCAAATAACGATATGATTTCAGCGAGTGTTTTACAAGAATAATTCTACCAATTACTTGAAAGAAATTTATATTTAATCTACTGCCCATTCTAGCTAGCTGCTATTTATAAACTGCAGTTGTGATATCTTTCTAAATTAACAAATTAATCATATTTTATATTATATGTAAAAAAGGAGTAGCACAGAATTCTATTTTTGTGCGAAATAAGTTGTTTTTAGAAACTAAAAGATATCTGTCCTGTTTCTTAGTGTGTGCAAAATATATTAGATATCTCGCCCGTTTCTTAGTTGCCAAATTTTCTGGTGAAACATGAATTCGAAATGATGTGACGTTATTTTTTCTTAGATGAAATATGTTATTATTGAGTGAAATATCTTATTTTTTAGTGTTATATATATATATATATATATACATAAAGAGAAGAATAATATTTTTATTAATTAATTCAAAGAGAAGAATAATATTTTTATTAATTAATTCATAAACGTCCCATGACCATTCAGAACGTCAAAAGGTATTTAATGTAGCTTAAATTTTTATCAACTAATACCTTAAATAACAGTTGATAAAAATTTAAGTTACATTAAATATCTTTTAACGTTCTGAATGGTCATGGGACATTCATGAATTAATTAGTAAAAAGATTATTCTTCTCTTTATGTATCTATTCGTCTTATATATATATAATTAATTCATAATTCATGAATGTTTCATGACCATTCAGAACGTCAAAAAGTATTTAATGTTGCTTAAATTTTTATCAACCGTATGATGTTTCATTAAACACAATAAATTGATAAAAGAAATTCTCACATTGGCGTTAAGGCCACCAAGAATGATAAAATATTTCCTGTCGATAAGTCAAAAAAAAAAAAAAAAGTTAAAACAACAAATAAATAGTCGCTTTATTAGGAAAATAGAACACATATACAAAGGCTAAAAGATGACCGGAGGGAGAGGGAGAGGGAGAGAGAGAGAGGTTGAAGATTTTCACCGAGAAGGCCAGCACCAAAAGCCAAAGGGTTCTCAATGCTGATGGACACCATCTTTATTTATGAGAGGTTCCTCAGTTCTACTAAGAAATTATCTCTAAGGCCTCGATGGTGCAAGGTTGTCCAACTCCGCTTGCCATGTATTTATAATGGAAAAAAAGGGAAAGTTTGGTATCAGCAAATTAATAATTAATAACGTACGAGGATGTTAATAAAGCCTTTCCGCACTAAGTTAATGCAGGGATTTAGATTTTAGATTTTTTTTTTTCATTGACAACGCCTACGTACATTTTACTCGTAAGACAAGTTAAAGTAAAAGAGAGAGAGAATAAAGATGAGCAACTCAGGAGAACTATGGAATTTTTTTTTTTACAATTTAAAAAAAATAGAATTAATTTGTATGTCATCTCGATATTTATAAGATTCGGAGGGCCACATAAGATGCTACATCTATTCAGAAATAAAAAAAGTATATGATATTTCTGCTGTAGACACAAATAGAACTCTTGTGGATGCATGTGAACAGCAATCTCAAAAGGTGCTCTGGGACACCTCCAACGAGTGGATCTAAAGGGTGCCCCTTTATTCAAGCCAAGTTTTATTAAGATGTGTGTAGTAGTCAGATGAATTCTACCAAGCAGGATGATGCCTCAATTGGATGAGTTCTTCTAATACAGCTGCCCATTCGATTAAGTTTTTCTCAAGTGATTGCCAACATGTGGATTCCCCCAAGCTTGGGCGAGTATTTCTCTAGAGAAATCACTAATGAGCATGGAAAGTGAAGTACTCCTTAGAAAACTTCACATGATTAGGGAATGCTCCCTTTGCGAGAATCCCTTGTGATTGGTGTGTGCCCTCTTGTGTCAAGTTCAGCTAGGGAAAGCTTGCCAAATCTCCTTTTTAGTTCCTTAAGGAGCTTGTATGATCTTAATAACTTTCTTAGATTAAGGCATTGTGGTCTACTTTTAGTTCTTCATTTATCTTGCACATCTGAAGGGTGCCATATAAAAAGAATATGATAATTCAACATAGCATTTATTATTTACACTAGCTGGTTAATTTGAAGGGTAAAAATTAAAATATACATGAATATCATTTATAAAAGAATGTTTATTACTTTTCTAATTTATGGAAAACCCTCTCCCAAAAAAAGAGAAAAACTTGGCAAATATAAAAAAGGTAGCCATATTATATAACTATAGGAATTCAGGCATTACCGGTGGTTGTTTCCGGCGGTTAACGATTGATTTCCGGCGATTTTTTAAAACACCCGTGGCATTCCGGCGGCAAAAAAACCCCGGCGTAGGAAACTGTTTCTGGCGGGTATTTTTCGGTGGCTTTAATTAATAACCGGCGGTGTTGACCTCATTTTTGATATGAGGTCACTAAGGCCTTTCCAAACTCCAGATTAATTCTAAATCCTAGGATCCATTCTAGACCTTAAGATCCTTTTCTAGAGTCAGACCTTAGGATCCACTCTAGACCTTAAGATCCTTTCCTAGAGCCAGACCTTAGGATCCACTCTAAACCTTAGGGCCTACTCTAGAGATTAGGATTCTCCAGATCCTAGATCTTAGAACCCCTCTAGATCCTAGGATCATTCCAAACTCAAATCAATCCCTACCTTTGATCAACTCCAGACTCAAATCAATCCCTACCTTTGATTAACTCCAGACTAAAATCAATCCCTACCTTTGATCAACTCCAACTTCAAGTCAATCCCAACCCTTGATCAATTCAAATCTCAAGCTTCATTCAGCTCAAATCTCAAACTTCATTCAAGTCTCAAACATACCCAAACTTTGATCCAATCAATTTGAC